GTAGGAATCGGTTCAGAGAGGAGCAGTTTTGGAACTAATAATTAAATGTATCACAGATGGCTTTTTAAGCAATTGTGATACTATATGGTAGGTTCTTTCATGAAAGTGTCTGTTCTTTGAGCAGAGGAGGGAGTGCTGACTTCTTTCAATTTGTTTTTTGAATTTAGAACAAAATCAAGTGTAGAGCATATTGTAGAGCCTCAGTTTTCTGGAACAGGAATAGAGAGAGCTATTATAGATGCATTGAAAACCCAAAATTTACTAGCCTAGTTGGAGTAGAAAGCATTGGTAGTAATTTCTCCTTTCCAAGAAATGATGTAAGGAGTTTTGTTGATAGTTATGTCTGCATGTCTGTAAGCAAAGGGCTTGGGAACTGGGGTATCCTCAGAATGACTTAGGGATAAAGGCTTGTTTTTGAGAACCTTATGTCCTTGTTTTAAGAGGTAGGGGGAAGGAAGACAGAATGGTGGTGGAAAGCGTGGCACGAATCATCCAGAGATTGGTCCTAGACCCTGGGTACATTATTTGGATGCCTGCTCAATTGCTTTCCTTACCTGTGCCCCCACTTTCCTGTTTGTAGGAAATGTAGAGTGTTTAAAAATTTACTGACAAAACCATCTGTTGCTGTTTTTAACTTTCTACCATGGAACTCACCTTAGATCTGGAGCCCACATTTCCACTGATGGTAACTCAGTCACTTCTCATTGAAAACTTCGTATCTTTTCTGAAGAGATATCAGATAAATTCAGATTGCTCTCTCTATCCTTTTCCCCTTCTTTTTGGGTTCTTAGGAGGCCTATGTATTGTCCTGTCTTGGGCATGTCTGTTTGCTCAATGAATCTCCTTCTGGACCCTTCAGGACTCAATGGAAATGTCTTCATCCCCTGGGATGCAGGAAAGACTATTGGTTGGGCAATGACAGCGTTAAGACGGTAGTGCTGTCTCAGATCCTCATGGACTTAAAAGGCCATGTGGTTTTCATTTCTACCCTAATACTGGGTGCCTCATATTGGCATGCACAATGATGGAATGCCCCACCCAGCTGCCCAGGGCAGGATATAAGACATTAAGCCCCTTTGGCTTTCAGATCCCCATATCTATTTAGGTGTTTCCACCCATCTCCTTTGGAGAACGGAGATTCAGGGATCAGGCCCGATACTTTCTTGTTCATCTTTCTCTGTTTCCGCCAAGCTCCTCCCCCAGTCCAGGCCAGGATTCGAGAGTCTTCCTGTGCAGTGAGGAACTGCTCTGATGTCATGTCCTGTATTCTTCCTACCATGCTGGGTTATAGTTGCAACACTATGTTTCCCAGGTTTGATTCTCTTTAATTCAAAACCACCATTTATTTATTTGTTATTATTATTTAGTTCTTACTGTAGCATTTACACTATGCATATCTAACAACACTGTCCACCTTCAAATAATTTGTGAACATTCTTATTCTTTGTACTGTCGTATGTTTTATATGTTATCAACCCCACCATACATTATTGTTTTGACTTAAACCATCTTATTTTTTAAAAGAATTAAAAGATGAGAAAGAAAATGTATTTATGTTACGTGTTGCTCCTTTTAAGTATTCTGGGTTTTTCTTTTTTCATTTTTATAAATAAAAGTTTCCATCTAATGCTGTTTTCTTTCTGCCTAAAGAAATTCCTTTAACATTTCTTTTAAAGTCTACTGGTAATAAGTTCTCTCAACTTTTGTTTATCTAAAAAAAAGTCATGATCTCGCCTTCATTACTGAAAGATATTGTTGGTTATACAATTCTAGGTGAACAAGTGTCTTTTTTCTTTTGGTATTTTAATTTTTTTTAATAGTTTATTTTTGAGACAGAGACAGAGCACGAGTGGGGGCAGGGCAGAGAGAAAGAGGGAGACACAGAATCTGAAACAGGCTGTAGGCTCTGAGCTGTTAGCACAGAGCCCAATGCAGGGCTCGAACCCAAGAGCCGCAAGATCATGACCTGAGCTGAAGTCAGACTCTCAACTGACTGAGCCACCCAGGCGCCCCTCTTTTGGTATTTTAAAGATGTACAGATTATCTTCTGGTTTGTATAGATTCATGTGACAAGTCTGACCTCATTCTTACCTCTGTCCCTCTGAATGCAACATGCCTCTTTTTCTCTAGCTTGTTTTAAGGTTTTCTCACTGTGTGTGTGTGTGTGTGTGTGTGTGTGTGTGTGTGTGTGTGTGTTTAGCAGTTTGATTATAATACGCCTTGGTGCAGTTTTCTTTGTGTCTATTCTGTTAGAGGTTTCCTGAGATTCTTGGATTTGTATGTTTATAACTTTATCAGATTTGGAAAACATTTTGTCCATTATTTCTTCAAATATTATTTTTGTCCCTGCCTCCACCCCACCCCCAGACTCCAAGTGCGTATATGTCAGATAGCTTTATATTGTCAAAGAGGCTCTGTTTTTTCATTCCAGAGAGTTTTATTACCCTGATTTCAAGTTCACTGGTCTTTTCTTCTGCCTTGTTTAATCTGCTATTAATCTCATTCAGTAAAATTTCACTTCAGATATTTTACTTTTCATTCCTAGAAGCTCCATTTGGTTCTGATTTAAACATCCTGTTTTTCTCCTCATTATAGTCATGTTTTATTTCACAATTTTGAACATGCAAAACATATCCATACTAGCTGTTTTAATAGCCATGTTTGCTAATACTATCTCTTGTTATTTCTGGGTCTGTTTCTATATACTGATTTTTCTCCAGGCGATGAGTCACACTTTCTTGCTTCTTTACATGTCTGGTAATTTTTTTTTTTATTGAATACTGAGCCTTATGAATTTTGAATTTTTTGGGTGCTAGATTTTGTCATATTTCTACACACACACATACACAAATGCTCCATTTTTTTTCCCCTGGAAGGTATTTTAGTTACTTGCAGATTAGTTCAATTCTTCCAGCTTACTTTTAAACTGTTTTTGGATAGGCCTAGAGTAGCCTTTATTCTATGGATCATTTAGCTTCATTTCTAAAGACTGGTCCTTCTGGAACCTTTACTGAATGTGCCTGAATTCCAGCAAAGCCCATCCACTTTGGCTGATGAGCACGTGAGCAGTTTGTGGCCCTGTGAGATCTCTTGGAATTGTGGGGCTTACAGCTGCCCAGACTGTAGCTCTTCTCTCCTGGAATTTTTTCTTGCCAGGTCACGTAGGGTTTCATCCTGCTCACATACAGGACTGATATTCAGCCAACAACTCAAAGGGAACCCTTTGCAGATTTCTAGAGATCTCCATGCAATGCCTTCCTCTTCTTTTTCTTTTTTTTTTTTTAATTTTTAATGTTTTTAATTTATTTCTGAGAGAGAGACAGCATGAGCAGGGGAGGGGCAGAGAGAGGGATATATAGAATCCAAAGACAGGCTCCAGGCTCCAAGCTGGCCGTCAGCACAGAGCCTGATGCGGGGCTCGAACCCACAAACTGTGAGATCATGACCCGAGCTGAAGTTAGACGCTTAACCGACTGAGCCACTCAGGTGCCCCAGTGCCTTCCTCTTCAGCTCTCTGTCTTGCAAACTGTTGCAAGTGCAGCCTTCCTGGCCTCTGCCTTCTCAACTCAGTGAGATCACCAGGCTGTCCTTGGGGTCCTGCGCCTGTGCTCAAGTCTGGACATCCTTTTTTAAATTTTTTCCCAGAATGCTTGGTGATGATAGGAATCAACTTCTTCTCACCCCCACTTTTCTGAAGGATCACGGTATCGTGCTGTCTGTTGTTCAGAGTCTAGAAATATTTGCTTCTAAGATACTGTTCAGTTTTCTAGTTAGTTATGGCAGGAGGGTAAACTGAACCATCTTATCCTCTCCTAGTGAGAAGCAGAAGTGCTCAGAGTTATTCTATTGTATACCAGTTTTTGATGATGACGTTCTTCTTTAGAATTGTGGTTGGTACTGTGGTTTTCCTGAGAATGCCTCGGATTTCCTTATTCTTGGTTGAAAAGGATAGATTTATCTGAAACTTACAGAAATTCTATAAGGAGAATTCTAATTCAAGGAAAAATAAAGACAATAATTCACTAATATTTATGGAGCACTGTCTATTGGCTAGTCAGTGCCCTGGTTGTTGGGGATATCATCATAAATAAAGTTTTAAAAAAATCTCTGCTCTTACTGAGGGCACTGTAGAGAAAGTATAGAAAGAGGCAACAAGCATAATAAATAAGTGAAATCTGGAAAATTATAACAGCTCAGATCGTAAGTGCTATTGTGAATTATAGAGAAATAATAATCCCCCCAGCACACATGTGGCACTGACTGGAAAACATGGCCTTTGTCCCTTCATATACTTTAATGACAGAGGCCATCTGCTTAGAGGTACAGTTGCCAAGTATATTACCATAAATGTAAATCTGCTCTAGGGCTGTCCCCTCATGCCCTGTGAATCTCTGTAATTTACAGACACTTAACACAAAGTCATCTTCATGGCAATGTTTGCTTAAACTAACTTGTTTCTTTCCAAATTTTCTCATCAGGATTGGATGTTCCATGAGGGTAGGTGTTATGTCTACCTTCACCTATGATTATATCCCCCAAGCATTCCACATAGGTTTGGCATTTGGAGAGTGCTCAGTAAATATTTGTTAGCTGTTAAACACATGTGAAAAGATTTGTGGGTATACTGGTTTCTTGATACCTGCTTTGCTTGTACATTACATGCACACCTCTAACTCTCCCCTTAAAAGTACAAGCCACTAGAGGCGCCTTGGTGGGTCAGTTGCTTGAGCATCTGACTTCAGCTCAGCTCATGATCTCACGGTTCACAGGTTTGAGCCCCGCATCGGGCTCTGTGCTGACAGCTCAGAGCCTGAAGCCTGCTGCGGATTCTGTGTCTCCCTCTCTCTCTGCCCCTCCCTTGTTCAAGCTCAGTGTGTGTGTGTGTATGTCTCTCTCTCAAAAAAAATTATTTTAAATAAATAAAAATAAAAGTACAAGCCAACTTCTCTTTGAAAATTACATGTTATGATCACACTTTCCTTCTTTCTCTTTTTTTGTAGCTGTGCAGTCATTGTACACCCTAAATGACCAGATATCCCACTTTATTGTGACCAAGTCGAAGGCACTGGAAGAGGACCAAGACCCTTTCCTACCCACAGAGAAAGAGACTCTGAAGAGTTCCATGATCCTGATGAGACACCTCTTAATGGATGCTCAGGTACAGAGATCAATAGAGAAATTCTATAGAGAGTTGGTGATATCCTCTTTTGTTGTCTTTTTGGTAGAGGTTGTGCAAAAATGTCTGACTACCATGCTTATTGAAAACTGCCTTTGTGATCAGCATCCATGTAGCAACGATTCTGATATGTTGAGTATTGGATTTCTGACTAGGAATTATTTGGGATTTGGTATTAAAATAGCTTGGTTTTAAGTCAAAGTAATGGGGCTTAAAAATAATACATGTGTTGTTTCTGAGAATTTAACCGATCCCTCCTTAGCCTGGGAAAAGTGAAAATCCATTTACGTACGAACTTGGCAGGCATAAAGCTGGGGAAGGCTTTGGAGTGGAGTAATACATACCACAAACAGCATCACTGAGCAGCTAATGAATATTTTGGTACATTTGATGCACCACCAGTAAGCGAATCAGTACTGTTGTTTCTTTTTTAATGCTCGCAATGAATTAATTACAGAAGGCATTTAGCCCGTTGCATGCTTTTGTTGAGATGCTCTTCTTCAAGGTTTCTCCTTGTGCACGATTTTATTGAAATATTTAAAGGTAATCTATCTACTCCTTCTGGCTTTGTTAGTGGGTCTCCCCAGATATGTTGCTAGGCAAACACCAGGTGTTTCAGGAGAGTTGGTAGTTTTCTGCATTAGTGAAGCCAAGCTGAACTAGATTTTGTGGTCATTTCTGTCTCTTCAGTATCTAGAAATGTTTCAGAAAGTGTTTTTTTGGTTTTGGTGGTTTTTGTATCAGTTTGCCCCAGAGCTTTCTTCCTGTGAGTTTGTTTTCTGTTCAACAGCAGTGAGGTCAGAATGGTTGGCAGTTTCCTGTGTTTCCTCTGTATCAGATTTTGAACTGTGATTTCTTTGCTTTTGTTTCCACCATGGTGGTGTTTTATGTTTTATTTGGTTAAAAAAATCAATCCTGAAGCCTGTATCTTGTACCAGTAGGACTTTAACTGGCAAGGCTTTTATGCATTTCTCACCTGTCAGTGTTTGAAGCTGCCCCATGGGGTTTTTGAGCCCCTATGTTGAGATGGCCCAAATTATGCAAAGCCTTTCATTTTTATTCACCAGTCTCCATCTCCCCTTTATTATGAGTTTAGCCCATTCAGTTTCTCCTTTCTTCCTGAGCCTGTCTGGTGGAAAAAGGAACGATTCCGAAGCTGTAACAGTGGATTTTAAAACTCGGGGAAAGAAGGGGAAATTTAGAATGATTTACCAAATAAAAGAGAGCAAACTGTTCTTGAAAGGATTGGCTTTCCTCAGTGCCCAGACCCAATCCTATAGCTAACAGTCCAGCCAACGGAACTATCTACATGAATCCCCAGCGATACTGTGCAAACTCTAGTTTGTAAAATCTAAGGAAATAAAAAGACCATTTATCTTTTTTCTCTCCTTCACTAGTGTCTAGAACAGGATTTCAAAAACGTTCAACATTGCTTAAGAAACTGTTTTCGCCCCTAAATGCTAGATTCATTTGACAGCTTTCATACTTGGTGGTGTTGATCGCAGTCCCCCTCCCCCTCCCCGCCTCCTTTTTTTAATCTAATGAGACTAAAATATTTCATTATGTTATTATCTCCTTATTATTTCATTGTCTCCTGATCCCTCATCAATGGCTGCTATAATTTCACACTTAAATAGCCAGATAAAGTAGAGCGGGGTATGGTGGATGTTCCCCCCTAAGTCATCCCTCCAAACGGAGGTGGGTTGAGTCTTCTTCCTGAGTGGGGCAGAAATAGAAAATCAGATCGAAAAGTGCTGTGATGTCCATTATTTCTTTTGCCTACTTCTGTTCAAAGCCTCTTTCCTCTTGTCTTTCAGACTAATACAAGAGGAGGTAAATTGTGATTAGTTTGGTCTAAAAATACCTCCCTCCTTGCTTTTCTCCCCAAACCACTCACTTCTTGAGACATTATTTGTGGTTATCTCTATGTCTGTGGCCGAAGTCAATTAGAATTATGTTATCTAATGCCCCCAGCCTCAGAGCATGTCCCTAAGATTGGGGTTGCCAAACTTCTAAAATGGCAAGGAACCCCAACATTTTGGGTATGGCCAGGGGCGAGATGGTGGCTTTCAGTTTGGAAGGAGACATCTAGAGATATATGATTTTTAAGAAGACTCTTTAATGAGCATCTTTGGAAATTCAGCGACTTTCCATTCATGTTTTGGCATTGTTTCTTACCTCGACTGGAAAGACGAATGAATGTGCTTAGTTCGTATTCTAAGTTCATCGATAATGGGAGGTCAACAGAATGTGAGTTCTGTGTGCCTCCTTCCCTTCAGCTGCATTTTGTGATATTAATAGATGTGCGGTAGATCTGTGTGTTGTAGGACGTAAGCTTCTCAAGAGCAGTAACCACATCCCTTAACTTGGTTGGTATAATAGTGTGCTCGCTTCCATACCCAAAGGACTCTTAATAGCATTAGATGATGATGAAATACTCTGACATCAGTTTGTGAGTTGAATGAAGTCAGGCACAAAGTATTCCAGAGAACCTGGAGGCTGCTTTCGAGAGCAACTGCTTAAAAGGCATAATCGATTCAAGTCACATCTGTCTTGGAAGCAATAAATCCTGCTTAGGAGAATGTCAAAGGCAAAAGCATTGCTGGGCTATGAAATTCTACCTCTGAGGATTATAAACCAGTATGCACACAGCAAACACATCTCCCAAGTATAATAGGGGTGCCAGGCATGATTGGCAGGTCTGACAGTCCATTCTAGAGAAGGGAAGCGAGAAGGAACATCTCACACGGGGAGCCCCCGAGCCCCACAGTTACGTATTCATTCCCTCAATGTCTGTCTGAACACTGAGGGGGTGTCTCAAAGAGGCAGGGCTCCCCTGTTTGCATTCCATTCCCCTCGTAGTCTGCAGGCCCCCCAAATTCAATGACATGTACCATTCAGACCACATTTGAAACCCGATCTTGTGGCTTTTGTTCCTGAGAGCCAAACTGCCGACTCAGCCTCATGAGTGATTAGATTCATAACACCGAAGAGGTAGTTCTTTTGGTAGAGATTAATTCTTTTACTCGTACCGTGTGACTCTGCATGCTAAGAGGAGTTGATTACAGCAAATTAAATCTCCTATTGGCAATTCTCTCTTTCTTCCCCCCCAAAGACCTCGTATCATTATTTATTAAGGGGTGAACAAATGCTTGGGAAAACAAGAAGAGCGCTTTGTTGGCCTCAGGGTCCCTTCCTGGAAGGCTGGGCGCTACCAGGAGGAGACTGTTACTTCCCTGTGGGCTCCCTTCTGCGGCCACAGCAGCTAGGAAGGGCCCGTGTTCTGCCGCCCAAGCCTGGTGGAGTGTGAGGCCCTTCTCCCTGGGCCTTGGCCTGGATTTGAAGGCAGGGCTTGTGTGCAGCGAGGCTGAGCCCTGGGTGCACCCTTCCCAGAGGCCCGTCTCTAGGAACGAGGGAAGCAAGGCTTTAAAAACAAAAACAAGCTACACAGCCATCATCTCTAAGCCAGTGTGTGCTCTGGGCCTGGCAGAAGTCAAATGTTAGGTGGCAAATAAATGAAATCCACTCGATCCTCTGGCCCGCCCCTTTCTCTGCTCTTTCTCCCCTTCTCTTTTCCGCTTGCCTTCCTTTCCCTCCTTCCTCCGCCCCACACCCAGCATCTCGTCTTCCTCTCCCACCTTCTTCTTCTTTCCTCTCTCCCCTGCCTCTTTTTCCCATTGGCAAAGTAAGTCTTAGTTGAGAACTGGAATGAGGCTTCTCCCTTCCCTTCTTCCCCTTTTCTTTCCTTTTCTCATCTGCTTTTCTTTCTCTCATTTGTGTTTGGGGATCTGGAAAGCATGTTTGCCAATAAGCCCATATTCCTCTTTGCCCAGTGAGGGAGAGGAGGGAGAGCAGCATGGCCGAGGGGTGGATTGGCAGGAGGCAAGCCTGGTGTTCAGGAGACAGGAGGGCATCCTGCCGGCATCTGAGACTCAGAGTGATGGCTCTCAGAGTGGTGTGATTTTCTCTTCTAGAATGTTCTAGAAAACTCCTCCAGTTAGTTATGCTTCCTGATTAATTTCTGGTAAAATTGATCCAATTCGACATGAGTCGATTAGCTGTTTGAGCTGTCCAGACACTTCACTCTCTAGACTGGCCTCGAATGGGAAAGTGTGGTTTGGGGCAGAGACTGCACCAGAGGAAAGTGGGGCTCAGGCTCCTGACCAAATAGTTGGGGAGGGATGACTTGTCAGCTTGTTTGGGGAAGGGGGCCTTGGACACTGGGTAATTGATGCACATCCATGACAGTCATAACCCTGGAAGAGGACCTCTCCCTTTTCTAGCACATTCCATCCCTCCATGTACTTTCCGAAGCCAACACCATGCTCAGGACATGGGGCTTGTGGTTATTACTAGTGCAGGAGTCTGGTACTTTCTAGCTGCTGTTGGCTTCAAGGTCATGCCACAAGGACAAGCCTGTTGACAGGCCTAGGGAATGTCTTGCCAATTAAGTTGCAAAGTCTAGGGCATCAGAAGCGTGCTTGGCTCCCAAGGTCACAGACGCTGGCCGTGGCTAAGGGTGGCACAGGAGCATGGGTTTTTCTTAGTATCTTTTGCAATTCAACCCTGTGCGGGAGAAAGAAACAGAACCGTCCCTACATTGTGGCAAGCTTAGAAGACACTCTGAAATCAGAAAGAGGGCAAAGTTTTCAACAGAAGAAAATTACCCTGGGACATGTTTGAATCTATGCTTGCTGTCAGATTTCCACCTCTTCCAGGTCATAGGAGAAAGAAACACTTAAACGGATGCAGAAGAATTTAGTTCACCTAACTAGAGAGCTACAGTGGTAAACCGATTATTCCAAGGAGTCTCAGTTTATCCCCTCCGGTAACCCACGTGCTCCATTACCCATCCGTCCTGTACATTTGAAAAGGCAATGCTTCTTTTCTGTTCTCAGATGCAAAACCATAAAACTAGCGGGTCCCCTGCCTGCACTTTCTTATGTAACGCACACAAGCTCACTGCCCATTCTGCCATGGTA